TTTCTGTTAGAAAATAATTCTATACCCTGAACCCCTCAATCAAATTTAGAGAACATACATACATATTCATTCATTTCAGTTTCTTTTGGAAAATTAAAGAGATCATTTGAAAAAACACAGGATCTATAGTCACACTTGTGGGAAATCATGTTTTTGGTCTCCTACTTTATTTTTTTAAATGTTCTATAATACCTTGTGAAATTAATCTTGCTCAGAAAAGAAGACTTCCACTCTAGTCAGTTGGCTCAGGTTGAGCATCATTCCCTCTACCAAAGTGCTGCTGGTTCAATTCCAGGTCAGGGTACATATACATAGGTTGTTGGTTTGATCCCCAATTGGGGCCTGTATCAGAGGCAACAAATCAACGTTTGTTTCTCTCTCTTTCCTTTCCTCTCTCTTTAAAATCAATAAACATATCCTCAGGTGAGGATTAAAGAAAAAGAAAGAAAGAAAAGAAGACTTCTAGCCCCTAGTCTTTGGTACTCTCACCTCTCAATCTCTGATAGCAGCTGGAGTTGGTATTTGCCTTTGAAATCAGAGTGAATGATTTGGTCTCAAAGGTTATTTGCATGAAAATGATTTTATCTCTTTTGTGTGTGACACCTTGTGGAGACTCAGGGCTCCCCTAGCCTGCTTTGACCTATTGTTCATTCTGGTTTAGAAAAATATGAGTATTTTCAAGGGGACTGCATCTTGGGATGATGAGAAATTTGATAAGGTCTCAGGTTTGAGGACACATGTATTATTTTCTGAGAGCCTAGGAAATAAACCCTGGGCTTCAAGAAGAGAAAAGAATCTTTGCTTGCCTGTCTTCTTAAAAAGACAGCCTGTCTTTTTAACCATTTAAACCACAGGTCTTTCTCTTTCTTCCTTTCTTTTCCTTACCTTCTGCTTCCTTCTTTTCTTCCTTTCTTCCTTTCTATTAAAAAAATTTTTCTTTTCATGTTCCTCTGGAAGTACATTTATAATGTCCTGGGTTGAAAATTACGATGGCCATGGGTTGGGAGTGTGTGTGTGTGTGTGTGTGTGTGTGTGTGTCTTTTTCCACACTGGCCCTGACCTTCACATGTCCTTCTGCTATTTTAGCATGAAGAACCCACAGGTGTGGGTGATCCATACTGTTCCTCAGGTGCTGTCTCTGAGCTCATGATATGCTAGATGGAAACACCGAGGACCGGAGAAGGGACAACTGCACCACTTGGACTGAGACCCATGAACCTTCTCCACCAAGAGAACAAGCCTAGTGCTGGAAGTCCCTTGCCCATGACAAGGTGACCTCTGTGGAAACTGGTTTAGACAGGACAAGGAGTGAACTAGGCATAGGTGTGTCATGAAAATGGACAGAGATATTAGCTCATAAAGCAATTTACATCAAAACTAAAAATAGGGCACGATGGATCACTGACAACTAATCAGCAGATTGTAAAGTTCAGGCTAGTCACTTAAAAGCATCAGGAACTTCAGCCTTTGCTATATTTGGCCTTGTGCGTGGCTGGAGGAGGAAGGGGGGACAGGCTTGTTGGATTTAGCCCAGCCATTTGGAATGCCATAAGGAATGTCAGCACCTTCCTCCTCCAGGCGCCTTCCCACCTGCACTCTATCTTTTCTTAGCTACCTTAAACGATAATATATGTGAATGAGGACCCTCTTTATTTCCATTAAAATAGGCAGACATAAAGAGAGGAAAGATAGAAAAGAAGTTTTTTTTTAACACTTATCTTGGGATAAATTTTTCAAGAAAACATAGCAATGTTAAATATGAATGCACCTAAACAAAATTTCAAAACTGATAAACCTTAAAGGGTAAATAGACAAATCCACAATTATAGTCAGAGATCACAAAATTTGTCTCTCAGCAACTGATAAAACAAGTAAATTGAAAATCAGTAAGGTTAAAGTAGACTTGAACAACACTATAAATCAACTGACCTAATTGATATTTGTAGAGTACTCTACCTGACAACAACAGAAAACATTGTGTCACAATGTTTTCCATTGCACATGAAACATTCACCAAGTTAGATCATATTTTGGGCCATTAAACAAATCCTAATAAATTCACAAGGATTGGAATCACATAATGAATATTCTTTTTCCACAACAGAATCAAATCAGAAATTAAACAGAAAGATATCTAGAAAATCTCCCAATATCTAGAAATTAAACACTACTTATCTAAATAACCAGGGGTCAAAGTAGCAGCAACAAGGTAAATTAGAAAACATTTTGAATTAAATAAAAATACAACATATCAAATTTTGTGGGATCACAAGTAGTGATTAGAAGGAAATTTATCGCATTAAATGATTTTTACTAGGAAACAAGAGAGATTTTAAATCAATAATCTCAAGCTTCACACCTAAGAAACTAGAGAGAAAAGAGAAAATGCAACCCAAAGCAAGCATAAGGATGAAAATAATAAAGAACAAAAATGAATACAATAGTAAGTAGGAAAAAAAACAACAATAAAGTCAAATAAAACCAATAGAATGGAGGACTTACATTACCTGTTCTGGAGACCTTTATAGAGCTATAATAATCAAGACAGTGTGATATTGGTAGAGGGAGAAACATACAGATCAATGGAAAGAAATAGAGGGTCAAGAAGTAGACCTACACACATACAGCCATCGAAGTAATTCTCTGAAGAAAGGCTAATTTTTTCAACAAATAGTGCAGGAAGAAATGAATATCTATACAGAAAACCAAACAAAACCCCCCCACACAAAAACTAAAAACCTATACTCTTGCCTCACATATACAAAAATTATCTTAAAAAACGATCTTGGATCTAAGGTAAAGCTAAAACTACAAAATATTCTAGAAGAAAACATAGGAGAAAACATTTTGATTTTGAGTTAAGGAAAGATTTCTTAAGTAGGACACAAAAAATACAAATTATAAGGGAAAATAATAAATTGGACTTCATTAAAACTAAAAATGTTTGCTCTTCAAAATACATTGCTAAGAAAATGAAAAGGCAAACCATAGACTGGGAGAAAATATTTGCAAAATGTGTCTGATAATGGAGCTTTATCCAAAATACATAAAGAACTTTCTGATTGTCTAAGGTGATAATCCAACAAAAAATGTCAGCAAAATGTATCAAAGTAAATATAAAAATGACTAAGAAGCACATGAAAATGCAAATTAAAACTACAAGAAGATACCGTACACATTTATTAGAATGGCAAAAATGTAAAAGGTTAACGCAATACCAAGTTCTGGCTAGGATGTGGAGTAACTAGAACTTGTAACATTGCTGGTAGGAACACAAAATTTAATAGCCACTATGAAAGAGTTTTATAGTTTGTTATCCATGAAGTTATCCATGAAGTTACTATATAATCCAGCAATTCCACTCCTAAGTATTTACTCAAGAGAAATGAAAAAACATATTCACAGAGATCTACATGTGAATGTTCATAGCAGCTTTATTTATAAATAGCCAAAACTGCTAACAACACAAGCATCCATCAAATGATGAATAGATAAATTGTGGTATATCCATACAATGGACTACTACTAAGGATAAAAAGAAATGAGCTACTGATACATGCAATGAAATGGATGAAACTCAAGAGCATAATGCTAAGTCAAAGAAGCCAGTCACAAAAGTCTACAGAATGCATCTTTTCATTTATATGATTTTGTAGAACTGGAGAACTCTAATGAGAAGCAAAACATAAACTGGGATGCAAGAAGGGGATTAACTGCAAAGACACATGAGGGAACTTTTTGGAGTGAAAGAAATATTCTATACCTTAACCGTGATAGTGGCTATACAATGCTACATATTTGTAAAAAGTTCTTGAACCTTACACTTAAAATAGGTGAATTTAAAATCATATATCTTTCATCTTTTCATCCATCTAATATTCTGTGGCTGTCTCTAATGTGTCCATTCTGTCTTTGCTCCACTGGACAATGAGCTCTGTAAGTGCCTTTAAGTGGGCTTCAGAGTTGAATCATCATGGATTTTTATGGAGTTTATCTAAACTCCATCTAGAGGGGTAATAACAGCTGTGTAAACATTCATTTAAATGGGTGACTAGGAGGAGAGTTGGAAAACAGTTTGGGGAATGGAGATTTATATAACACCTTCAAGATAAGAAATATATTTTGGGCCCTGGCCGGTGTAGGTCACTTGGTTGGAGCATTGTCCCTTAAGTGAAAGGCTGCGGGTTCAATTCCTGGTTAGAGCACATGTCTGCATTGCAGGTTCATTCCCCAGTCAGGGCATTGTGGGTTTGTTCCCCTGGTCCGGGTGTGTATGATCCCCTGTCCACACAGGGGCATATGGGAGGCAATCAGTTGATGCTTCTCTCTCACATTGATTTTCTGTCTTTCCCCCTTCTTATCTCTAAAAGCAATGAAAAAAACGTTCTTGGGTGAAGATTAGAAAAGCATAAAAAAGAACTATATTTTGGAAAACAAAATGAGCTAACCATTTCACAGAGAATTTATGGTTATTATATTGTCACTCAGAATGATTTGCATCAGTCCTAAGTCCATAATCCTCCCAATGAAAACATCCTGAAACAGTTTATAAAATTTTTAGTACTAGATTTTTCACTCTCTTATATTGTACAAGTAGATGAATATTCCCATTGAGTAGTTGCCTCATTTTCCTGGTGAGAAAACTGAGGCTCAAAGAAATTAAACACTCAGGGTCAGGTGTAGAAGCAAGATGACTAGGACCTGAATCCTTTCTCCTAATTTCATTGATCTTTCTAGTACCCCAAAGCTTAGCAGAATTTCTGCCCAATTTATTGGCCTATTTTCAGGCTAGAAGATTAGAATGTGAAAAAAGGATATGATATTCTTGAAAACAACAGATAGCTATAATATAATAAAGCTCTTAGAGTCTTATAAAACTAAAACTTCATGCTCTGGTAAAATATATGAGCTGTGATTCTTTATAGAGGCAGAAATTGCAGAAATTTGAATGTCTAAGTTCCTATCTCCAAAGCAACTGGCTCTTTGTGGAGTGTGTGTGCGCGCGCAGGCGGTGAGATGGTGGAGTGGTCTTCTGACCTTGAAGCAGCTGCCACAGTCCACCTCAGGTATTAGCCAGAGCAGCTACCAAGTTAATCCACCCAATAGGAAGACATTTTTCTGGAAACCCCTGTTCCCTGAACAGATTCCATTAAATGGTTTGGACAAATTCTTCCACACAAGGCCACTCAATCTCACTGGGAAGGGAGAAAGGGGAATAAGGAGGGGTTTATATCTGTTTCTTCCACTTCAGGAAAAATCTAATTGCCATTCATATTCACCCCCAAAATACCCAATTGCCCGTGGGGGTGGGGTCGGGGGTGGAGGCAGTCCCTGTATTAACACCCAGGTGTAATTTGCATGTGAGTAATGCAGAAAGAGGAAGGGCAGCAAATGGAAGCAGACGGGACCAGGCATCCCCAGGAGATGAGGCTCACTAAGGCTGCTTTCCAGAAGCTGACCTATCTCACAGAGTTCTTCTCCGCACCTTTTTATTGCCCTATCTTCTGAGGTTGACAAGAGGCTGGTGTGACTTTTTCAAAATGAATTAAAAAAAAATAAATGCATGACAAAGGTCAAATGTCATTTCCACCAAACTCCCTTCGCATTGACCGAACATATAGTATATGCATGGCCTAGAAAGATGGAAACTTAGAGGGCAATTTTGGAGACCTGTTCATGTAGAGAGATTTTGCATGGTTTGACCTATGACTACTTTTAGGAAGTTTTCTAGGAGGAATGAGGTGTGATTGGATTCAAAATGCATCCTGCAGAAGAATAAATGGGAACCATGGTCGTCTGTGAGATCCACCTTCATATAGGGCTGAATCCAAACCTTGTCAAGAAATTATTTTTTCTTTGAGAATGAGGGTGGAGAAGGCAACAATGCTCTTCTGACCTATCAAAAAGCAGAGTCCCCCATTCACAAGTGGTAGAGAGAGTTGATGTCTAGCTTTTGCCATGACCAGCTTCTAACACATAAACTACCTATGTGATTAGGTGAAGAGAGAAAGTACATGATAAAGTATAGACTACATGAAATCACAGGCAGAAAAAGCAAGGGCAGATGAATGGCAATGAGGGAAGCACCTGGAAATAGAACACTGGCCTTCTTAAAAGATTTACAGTTCCACTGATGAGGTCTGAAGTGAGTTTACAGATGAGCAAGTGAGCCCGACATGCGTCTGAGTTTCTAAAACAACCTCATTCCCTTACATGGGACCAGTAAAGAGAGGTCAGACTGCCAGTGAAGCATGGAGAACTTTGTATCACATTCTAAATGTTCAGGGAAAGACTAATGATAAAGTATGAAATTCCAACAAGCTAACTTTGCATCGGATAAACACTAATTTAGGAAGCTGGGTTCTGAGGTGGTGAAGGTAAGTCAGGCCTGCAAAAAATTCAGAGGCCAGGAATCTGATACCATGGTGAAGTCTCTATCCTTCTGTCCATATCTCTTTTCACAAATCAAAGAGTGATACTCTATCATAAGCAGATTTCCTGCTCTATGTGAAAGGCCCTTTTTCAAATGCCAAGAACTACACAAGCAAGGTTCTCTGCAAAACTGAATGTCAATTCAGTCTACCTCACCCGGTCCCCACTTGCTTCACCCTCATCTCACCAGACAGGCACATGAATAATGTCAGTGTACGTGACATGGGCTCAGTGGATGGCGGACAAGAAGCATGACTCTCCCCCTGCAGCCTCAGAGAAGTATTACAAGGATATATAGCAACCAATCCCAAAACCTGAATTCTCAGAATGTAAGCTGGACTCTTTAGACAATTATTCAGATCCACACTAGATTATTCCAATAAAGCATGGCGTTTTCTCTCTCCCCATTTGCCCCACTGAGTCCATGGCCCATACTTCCTCCCACTTCTCTTCAACATAAATAATGACAGGAGGAGGAGCTAAGCACCTGAGCAGACTATAAGAACACTCAGAACATTCTAGTGGCACAGGTTTGTGACTATTAGACATTGGGGGCAGGTCCCACTCACACACAGGTAAAGACACAACAGGGCTCCATGGAGATCCCACTGCCTTTGCTGAGCAGACAGCTAATGAGGGGAAAAGAAACTGTGTGATGGGAGCTTCCAGAAGAGTCAATGTCAATCCAGGGAAAAGTCAATAGCCAGAAATAGGAGAGGCCTTTCAGCACCAGTCACCCTGAATTGCTTCTGAGCTACAGGCACAGGGAGCTGGGTCTCAGGTCTAGCAGGGTCATTTACTAAAAGTATAAGGGGTTTGAATCTTTAATTACTATTAGTTAAACTGATAATATTTAAAAGTTGTTAGAAGAGTAAGATGTCAGTCCCTAAGCAAACCTCATAACAGTAATCAAGAAAAGGCTTGAGAAAGTTGTCTCAGAAATAACATGTTTTTTGTTGGCTTTATGACATTTCTTTGGTTCTAATTCTTTATGGCTGGCAAATGAACATTGATCTCTGGCTCTTTACTCTTTCAGATTTCACCGGGCTGCAATGCCCCTGATGTTGCTGTACCCAGGGCCCCTTTCTCTCAGGGACCCCATCTCCCAGGAAAGACATTGTAGAGTCTCAGGGTTCAAAGATAACTGAGAGGTCACCTAGACCACCTGCCCGCCAGATCAAGAATTGCCAATATATCCCCAACAGGAATCATCTGGCCACCTCCTGAGCCCCTCTGTTGTAAGCAGATGAAATGCTGCTACTTAATCTATGGAAACCCTAGAAAGTCCTTTGCTCCTCTTCTCTCTATTTTAATAGCAGTGAATTCTCACAGTAGCTGAGACCTTTTGAAACTGGTCTCCCCTAAAGGCCATTTGGGAGGGTCCATTGTTACTGGATTACTGAATAATTGCCCACCAGTCACTTCTGAGTCAGGATTCCCCTCCATGCAAGATTAGATAATGGAGCAATTCTCCTCAGGAAGGTGCCTTGAGGTGATTGCATTGTGGGAGCTTGAGGCCACAGTATTGTCTAGGAACTTCGTTCTTTTTAGGTGGCTGAGCCTCAAGGCTCAGAAATTTATCTCTGGGCCTACAGAAGAGAAATATGATAAAAGAAACTACATGAGATGTTAGTCAAGGGAAAAGAAAATATTTCCTACCCAATAAAGTAAAAATCAAGCTCTGAATCTGACTCCAGATGTAGTGAAGTATAAGAAAAGCCAAAAGTGCTAGGCAGATTGCTAACTCCTGTGAGAAACAAGAAGAAAGCTTCACTGTTATTATCAAAAAAAATTTTCCCAACATTATTTAGATGGACTTTCCATTCTGGTTCAGAGCCCTATTTAGTGCTTCTCACAGGGTCTTTTCAGAAAACAGCTCCTCCTCACTCAACTTCCAGTAAAGATGTAAGAATTCCCATAAACTTTCTGGACATAATCAAAGTCTACTCCATTTTTTTTTAAACCCAAAATCTACTTCAAAAGACTTCCTCAAACCAAACAATTATTTTTGTCATTTTCATCTGTGAAAATAAATATATAGCACAAAATCCTGTTACTTTTAATTTTCCAAAACTCATTTCCTTTTTTTTTTTTTTAATCTCATGAAATGGAGGTTCACTTGAGTAGGTACAGGCAAGATAATGTTATTTTCTGATTTTTGGGAAAAAATGTTGTTTGTTGTTTGTAATCACCTGATGACCCAGGAGCATGGAACTGCAGAGTGCTAGTTTGACAGCCCCTTGTCTGGGCAACAGTCACTCCCACACATCATTTAAGAATGCTCACAGGAATGGAGTAACCATGAACATTCTTCCTTGTGAAGAAATTACAGAAGATTTCTTCTGTGGAATCTTTGAGCCATGCAGACATCTAACCCAGTGTTAGGCAGAAGATATGGATGTCAAACTTTCATTATAAGAACAAGAGAAAAAAATCAAGTGTCCCTTTTTAAAAAATCCGATGGAAGAAAACCCGTGCTTTTCTGCTCCCAGGAGCTCATGCTTAGGAAGCACTGGTTTAATCAAGCCAAGACTATCTTTGTCTAGACATAGCCAGCACACTCCCAGAATCCATGAATCACAGGTTATTTTCCAGAGCAGACTTAGAGCTCAATTCAAACGTGCTCCTTGGGGTTTGCTGGGAAGGGAACAAAAGCGGGTCATTAGTCTTTGGAAGCCCAGGGAGGACAGAGAATAGGCTAAGCAAGGACAAGCGGCCTTGCAAAGGGGAACAGGGACACCAGGCAGTCACTGCAGACAAAGCAGCTCTCAACTGCATGCTGAAGGGCCAGGCCCTCTAGAGCCCCGTCCCCTGGGAAGCCGGGTGTGAGGTCACCACTCGTGAACAGAGTGAAGTCAAACTGTCTTTCTTTGTTTTGTTTTATGTAAAGCTTAAAAAAACAGGTTAATATAAGGCTTAAACAATAAGCCAGCATTGAGGCTGAGTTGTTCCTGAGATTTTCCCAAGGCCACAGTCTGCCCCTTTGGAAGCCCTTCTTTCTTGCTGCGATTCTAGCAGGACCCTGGGCGGCACAGGGAAGCATTCAGACACAACAGCATCAACACTAACCTGAGAAGTAGCTGCAGGTGAACTAGTTGCCTTACCACTCACTGCTGCCCTCTCACTGGCTGCGGCTTCTGCCACTTCTGCCTTCTGCACATTCGAATCCTCAGAACCTGGAGGCCCTATGTGCCCCAGACCTTCGCTCACTGGGGTGGAAGGTGGGTTGGTGGTAGCTTTCCGGGTTTGGCCTTTATACCAACTAGGGTAAAACAAGGGATCCGCAGTGTCCGTTGATGCAGGGACTGGAGTTTCAGACTCTGTGGTCTGCTGAGAGCCAGTGGGTACAACCTCCCCCTTAATCAGGACAGATACATTCAAAAGTGAAAAGAGAAAAAGAAGAAGAAGAAGAAAAAAAGCAGTCGATTTTAGTTCTCTTCAGGTTTGACAACTGTGAGCTCTGTGTGTAGTGCCTGATATTGCACATTTTAGTTCATCCCACCCTTGGCAAGTGCTAAGAGAAGAAATGCTAACAGTAGTTGCCCTTCTTCATGGCCTCGCATGTGCCCCTCTTCTTTTGTGGGTTTGTCTTTAACGAGATGATAGCCTGGCCAGGCAGACAACGGAGTCCTAAAATGAAAGTTACTTACAAAACATCAGATATGGGAGAAAGGTCAAGCTATTGACCAAAATTAATTTTTGACATAAATGGGCCCCTAAAAACCTCTTTCCTAAAACCAAGGATTGATCTTACTTTCATTTAGTTACCACCCCTTTTTGAATTTCAGTGCAATTGTTATACCCAGATTTTTAAGATTGTAGGAACTATAAAAATAATATTTTAGCCTGGTTTCCTATGGAAGTAGAGCATAGAGTATACTTTCATCCCTGAGTTCTCCCTCTGAGGTTTTGTTTCTGGAGGTAATTTCAGTCCTCTTTAAAAGCAGGTACAAAAACAGAGCTCTTTTGTGATGAGTCTCCATCGTTCACAAACTCAACAGGTTGGGATCTGTTTGCTGAAGGTGACATGCAGTCAGCACAAAGCCTTGAAAACTGGACAGTGAATTCTTAGAAATATAAGGTCAGCGAATCAGGTACAGCATCTGGAATAAGCTAATTTCCTCGGAAACTTTTTAAGCAATTTTGTCAATTTATAATCTCATCACATGAAAGATTCATAGAAAATTAAGCTTCATTTTTTTCCCCACTGAATGAAAGCTATATTTGTATTTCGGGGTAAGCAAGAGGAACATAAACTAGCATGGCTTCTCTATTTACTTCCATTATTATCTACAGAAAATGCAAAGTTTGAAAGTATAACCATTTTTGTTTTTCACCCTATATTACATATTTCTCATGCTATACCCTATATCTGTATTCAGAGCAGGCCTAATCTTCATGCTGTTGGCTCTCTCTGAACCTCTTACATACACACACACAGTTTCCAGACAAAGATTGTCTCAAATTTGAGGGTGGTATTGATGGAAAATCATGTTAAACCAAGTCTTGCCAACCAGTTATAACAACAAGTTTGTTGAATCACCTGCAGGGACCTTTCTCCCTAATAGTGTTACTGCTCTGAAATCTTTTGTCTTCTGCATACAAATGTCTGGCATATAGTTATCTTTTCCTTAAGGTAGAATAAATTATGTAGGTTGTCGGGCAAGGAAACACCGGCAAGTCCTGTGGGAAAGAACTCTTGAACAGTTACCTGTGTCACTGGGGCATCAGCAGCAGGTAGCAGGGCTGGAGGTGTCTCTGGAGAAGAAATAGGAAGTGTGGCTGGGGCGGCCTGGAGCTCTGAGGCCAGCAGAGAGGACTCCAAGGCTTTCTCTGGACTTTCATCTTCTCCTGGTGGCTCTGTTCGAACATTTTCTACCTCTTCCAATTTTACTCCTTCTTCTCCTTCTCCCTGTCCCTCTCCTTCTCCCTGTCCCTCTCCTTCTCCTCCGCCTCCTTCTTCTCCTTCTCCCTCTCCTTCTTCTCCTTCTTCTTCTTCCTCTTCCTCTTCTGCTAAGGTAATGTATTTTTAAATCATTACAATTACCACTGCTGCCACGAAAATAATTAATGGCCAAGGCTAGGAAAAATCATCTTTAATAGATACTTGACTATGGCCTAAGTATGCCATGCTGGAACTTTGTGCTTTTAGTTAAATGGGGACTAGAAAAATGTGAAGGGAGCCAAATTGTCACCATCTTCTTTGCTCCCCTCCCAAGTATGATGTTCAGTCTTCATCAGCACTAGTCACCATCCCCCGTCCACCCCTGAGAACCTGTTCATGTTTTTATCACACTCTGTCACAGCTTCCGCCTCCTGAAGGACTAAGATTGTCACTTATTTGTCTCCATCAGAGCAAACAGAAAAGTAACTCTCTTCCTTTTCTGAGAAAAGACACAAAACCCTTGTCTTATTTTAATTTTTTACCTCCTTTGTTCAGTAAATGCTGACTTTTGCCACAGTTAATGCCATGACTCTTTTTCTAATCCACTGATCTTAATACTATTCCTTCAGGCAATATTAGGTAATTTTTAAAAAGATCCATCCTGAAGGTTTACTTTTAAAGTTATATCTATGGACACTAAAACGGCTTCATGGCATTAGTGGTGGTTGAGCTGAGGTGTTTCATCACCTAGATGTGCTAGGATGGACCAAGCCATCAAAGATTTGGTAACTTCCAAGGCTATTTTCTTCTGTTCAATGATTTCATCAGGATAAATTTCCAGGAGTGGGATTTCTGGGCTATATGGTAGGAATGTATTTATAACTCTTGGAGTACATCTGGTCACATGGACTAAGTTTTACTTCCAGGTTGTGCATTATTCTATGACTTGCTACTATTCTTGCCCTCTAAAGTTTGATTAAGTGGACGTGCACACAATATCTACCTGGATGTCTTCTATGTTTTATATATTATCTCACCCTTAACCTTGCACCTGATGACATTTTACTCATTGTGGCTAATATCTTGTGTAGGGTTGAAATTGAGATTTTGTTATCACCATCAGTTATTAAGTATTTGACTATCCAGAGTCAAAAGCCCAGTAATAGCATTATAATGGGCACTGTGATATGCAAGGCTCAATAAACACTGTCAACACACTGTATGATTTTGAAATGAAATAGAGCTTCACATTAAATTACAATCCTCGTAACATTGTCACCATCCATTCTGAAAGTGATTCTGAATCCACCTTTCCTCCCCCTGAACTCTTCTGCGGCTTTCACACACCTGCAGTTTGGGCCAAATGGTCACAAGAATAACAAACCTCTGTAAAAATCAATTTCACGTATTATTTTTTCTTCTCTATTGAGGTTGACTGTGAAGTGGTTCATGTTCTCATAACCATGCTCTATTTTCTCCATCTGAAATGCTTTCGATGCTTCAGAAATTCTGCAAAAAAGACAAGTTGCTACTTACTGTCACTGTTGACTGTGTGATAGTCTTGGGTAAAAATGAAAAATATGTATCTTTTTCCATAAATGAAAATTACTTACTTTTGTAACAGGGTTTTGGCATTCTGTGGAAGCAAAGAAAAGACAAGCCTACTTAAATTATTTTCATCAAAGATGATGTTGAGACTTAATTCTTCCCTTTGCTGACTCTGAAAATCTCATGGCTTAGTTTTAAATGCCATAAATAACTGTTTCTTTAAACCAGAATCTTCTTATATTTAAGCAATGTCATGAGACCTTACATATATACTCGTGAAATTTTTAAGCAGATGGAAAATGAGCCCCAAATGGACTTATATTTGGTAAAAGCAGATCAGACTGAGATGTACATAAAATAACAAAACTATGATGACAACTATTTCTCCAACACTCACCTGTTTGGTTAGTTTTCTTTGGTGTCAAAAAGAGACTTACCTGCAGAAATACTGCCATTTCTGGCTCATCCATGAACTGGATTCCTGACTCAACCAACTTTGATACATTCTCCAAGTGATCAGAATACTTTTTGATCAGAGCACGGACATGTTCCAATTTCTCCCCTTGGGTTCGGGTAATGACTTGGGTCATCTCATTCTTCCTCTCCTCCAGAATGCCATACAGGTAATCAAACTTCTCGCAAAGTTCCTGTTTCTGTTTTTTGCAGCATTCCTGTTAGTTGGGTTAGCTAATGTTAGAAAGTATTTGAAAGAATGTCTATTTGGAGAAATTACCTGGACATTTTAGGAAATAAGAAAATTTATTTATGTAGGATTTTTTTCTTTTCTCTTAAGCATTTACTTATACTGTCACTTACTTATAGATTCCCACTGTGCTGCTACTTTGAAAATCCCACTTTTATCAAATTTGATAGTTAAACAATCAAAAATCAATTAAATTGGCTAAATAGAGGAATGATTTTTCAATCTTCTATATTTTATAAGTGGAGAATTTCATATAAATTAGGATAGGTTTTGTTTTAAATTACATATTGGCTATATAGCTTATAGGTTTATATTTTGCTTGGAATGAATGTGTGTGTGTTCGTGTGTGTACATATGTGTATGTATGTATATGTAAGGGAAAAAAAAAACTATAGTCCTTCCTGGCTTGTACTCTCCGTTTCTCTCTGCACCGCCTATACCGCTACTGTTCTCGTTTCAGTCCTCCTGTGTAGATTCTGAAGCTTCCAGTGGCCTCTGTATCTGGGATACCTGCTTCAAGCCAACTAACGCCACTTCCAGCAAATTCATTCTCCTGGGTACAGTGCTTTGTCTCTGTTATGACTCCCCATTGCCCAAAGAATAACATTTTAACTTTACAACTGGCTTTCAACTCCCTTCATGACCTGGTTCTAGCTTTCCTTCACAATATTTTACTCTTCTCCATCACATACCATGCCTTTGTCCCACAAAAATGAATCACTCACTTTCTTTGCTCATATTCTCCCTCTGTTTAGAATGTTTTTCCCCAATTCACAGTTGCAAATGCTAAGCAACCTTAAAGACATATTGAAATACCACTTCTTCCATGAAGCTTCCCTTGATCTCTGTGGCTGAATGTCATCTTTCAATTTTCTAAAATCCCATAATAGTTATCATTTATGGCATATACTTGTAACCACCAGATGCTCTATTTATCCAATATAGTCTAAGAGAGGGAAATGCTGAATCAGGTTTTGGATTCCTGGACAGAAGGGCTGTATGTGAATCAGCCTTGTCCATCTGCACTGTGTGTCTAAAGCATCTCCAGTATCATCTTGCTCCCTTTACTCTGAGTCCATGTTTAAATCATAATTAACTTTCCAGTTGGCCTGGTCATTGGCCTTTTGGTTTTTCAAGCTCCAGTAAGTTTGGCATGTGTGTATGCCTGTCTCCCTGGACCAGACCACCTCTGGGTCCAGGGCCTTTACAGCTGAGAGCAGGTCTTTGAGCCATGATGAGCCAACCTAGAACTCTTGCCCAAGCGGTGCTTCCTGAATCTGACCAATTTATCTCTCACATCTCTGACCTTTCTATGACCCTTATTACCTGTTCTTTCATCTTAATAAACATTGTTCTCTTTGATATCACATACTACTTTCTTCCTTTATATGAATTTCTTAAATATCTAAACTATAGAATCTGGGTCTGCCTAAGACACATACCACCCTGGAGAGCAGATGTTCAATAAATATCTGTTGAATAGATTTTTAGAAATCATGTTTCATTTCCCCTCAACTTCTCTACTATTCTATGGCTAAGAGAGGAAAGAAGGATGACCTAAAGCAAATAGCTGATTATGAAGATACTCCACAAATGTGCAAGCAATACATCCCTCACTCCACTGCCTCCATTGGGTAACAGTTCTCATCACATTCTTAACCAGTTACAATACATGGAGGAGATCTAATGGTATAAACCATTTAATAGTAAGTACAGTATTCCTGTCATCCACCCAACCATTCATTCATTTAACAAATAATTCTTAAACATGTCATTTGTGTCAACCACTGTGCAAGGCTTGTGGGACCTAACGATGAAGTAAACATAATTACTGTTCTCAGGGAGCTCACAGTTCACGAAATGAGAAAGAATATGGGCCAATAATGTAACACAACCTAGTAGGCTAAATAATTGAAATATATTAAATATTTATACCAGGTTTTATAGACGCACAGAGGTGGGGCCTTAATCCAACCCTTTGTGTGGGTGGTGGACATCTGAGGGGAACAGGACCCAGGGGTGTGATGTTGAGCCAGGAAAAGCTTCTTAGAGAATGTGGTGCCCAAATTTGGCCATAAAGGATGAATAGGAGTAGAGGAGGTACAGCAGAGAATAAAATGTGTGGAGCCTTGGCAGTTGTCAAAGTAACAGGACTAGGGCGCACACAGCATGTCCAGACATGGAAATTGCCAGACTTACCAAATTTCCATCCATTTCCAGCCCTTTAGCTTGAGATGTAGACTATTATGCAGCCTAGGAACTGACGACTATTAGTAGCTTCCCAATCAAACTTTCTCTGTATTACCTTCTGTCCTAAGCTTACAAGCAACCATGTGTCTACTGCATTTCTGAAATATACCTTTGATGTTCAGATGCTTTACTGTTTACTATAAAACAATGATGATTTCAAGTTTATTTTTCTAAAATAAATTGTGACCCTGGCTGGGGTGACTCAATTGGTTGGACTATTGTCCCCTATACCAGAAGGTTGCAGGTACGATTCCTGGTAGAGGCACATGCCTGGGTTATGGGTTTGATTCCTAGTCTGGTCATAAACAAGAGGCAACCAGTCAATGTTTCTCTCCCACTCCTTCCCTTCCCCTCTCTCTAAAATCAATAAGCATGGCCTTGGATGAGGATTAAAAAATAAATAAAACAAAACAAAATGAATTGTGCATTTGAAACATTTATAATAATAAGTATTATATGAAGTTGTTATACTGGCAGAAGGTCTTTGTTTTATAGAAGTTTTCTCTGATATGATTTAATATGTGGAAGAAAATGTAAGTTTGTGAAAGCCAAATCCTTTTCAGTGAGACTAATGTGAAGTCATGCGTCATGGCTAGTGTATTCACTCAAGTCAAAGATTAGATCACTTATGTGGGCCATATAATTTTCCTTAGTGGCTTAAATGGAATACCAAGTATTATTTTATTTCTATTTTGTTTTTTTTAATGATTTGTATTATATTGAATTTTGTTAACATCACTATCATTTTAATAGCAACTATCATTTGCTTATACTTTACAGTTTAAGAAATGCTACCCCATGAATAATATATTTATTACTATTACTTATTATTATCATCATCATCATATGACTACATAGTTGTAAAGCATTTATTTGCCACATAGCAGGCACTATATAAGTTTTTATTAATTTAGATCCAGTTTTCCTTGATTTGAATTAATCAGTTGTGGAATTTTGAAGTTGAAAGGACTATCAGAAGTAACTGCTACAAGCCAATCATTTTACTCACATAGATACTAAAATCCAACAGAATTAAGTCACTTTCTCAAGCTATTCTATCATTTACTGCCAGTGCCTGGCCTAGAGCCAAGATTGTTGAACTCCTGGGTCATTGCTACTCCCACTGTACCCAGCTGTGACGTACTTCAAAGTAGCTTAAAAAAAAAATTTATGTGGACTGCTAATCAACTGAATATGCACCTTTTAACAACTCTAGTATGTTGCAGATGAGCTCTTAATGATAAGAAATCTCAGTTGTTTCAGAATTATATTCATTAATTCATTCCTTAAGCAAAATTCACTGAGTGCTCCTTATGTACCAAGCATTATAAAATCTAAAAACCTACCATAATTTTCCAGTGTTCAGGAAAACAGCAGAAAAACTATATTTTCTAATACCAAAAAAACCTCACTTCTTTTTTCTCTTGTTTAATGTGTGTCTTCAATTTAATTCTATGCAAAATATGGTAAGAGTTAAATCTGTTTCTGAAATAGGAAAAATATATGATTCTTATTTCAAATAATAAGATTGGTACTTAGAAACAGAAATTAACTTAAGATGTTCAAGTTAATCTAATTCAGATTCAAATGAAAAATACTACATGATATTGAAATTCTTCTATTTTTCCTTTTGTATTTATTTATTGATTTGAGGAGGTGTAGGGAGGGAGAAAGAGATATCAATTTGTTGTACCACTTATTTATGCTTTCACTTGTTGATTATTATATGTGCCCTGACTGGGGATTGAACCCACAACCTGGATGTACCTGGACTGTTGATGCTGTAACCACTGAGCTACCTTGCTAGGGCCAAAATTCTTCTATTTTTGCATACTCTCTGAGGTAGAAGCAACACAAAGAGAATAATATAGGCACTTTCAATCTTTCTTGGGTACAAGGCCTTCAACATGCTGTGAAAGTTGGTAAACAACAAACACCTCAGTTTATCAACTTGCCCTCCAAGGTACTTAGTAAACAATTATATGCTATGAAAGGAAAAAAAAATGCTCTTAGGAGCCACCTCCCTACAGGTAATGATTACTCTGAATTTCAGTACCAATTGGGTTTTTGTAAATGTGGATCTGAAATGCTTTCAACAATGACTTTCTAGCAACCTAAAAATGGAATGGGGAAAATGTGGACTTCTACATTATCAAAATGTCTGCAGACAGCACACTCTAAGGGATGATTGTTACCTGCCAAAGCATGATAGCAATCACATTGATTTCTTCTCCACAAAAACTTCCTTACCTCAAAAGGTTTCTCCTTGTTTTTAACATAACTTTTTATTTATTTGAGTAAAAAGGTATATATCTTTAAGCCCAATTCCAGCCTGTATACCACCTCTTTCCCTCACTTCTCTGGATAGTAACTGAATCAAGATCATACTTTTTGAACTTTCAAGTTTATTTTTTTGAAATTTCTCCATATTCTCCCTTTTAATGTCTGAGATTCCTCTGTTGTCTCTGTGTGTGTACACCTGCAATTGTACCCGCATGAGCATGCTTAACAACTGAAGTAACTTCCCTCATAAATACACTAGGTGCTGGCCTCTGATCATAATCTGATGCAAGTCCTCAGACTGCCACATGACCTTCTTCCTGTTTTGACAGGACAATTGCATTTATTGGCTTCTTAGGAGAACCAAATAAAAGTTGTCTGCAATACTTTAATGAAAAGAAAACTTATCTCATCTATAGGGAGAACCCAACATGGATG